TCCCCTAGTGCGTGTGCCCCTTGTGTTCCCCTAGTGCGTGTGCCCCTTGTGTTAAACAGCCTGTCTTTATCTACCCTGTCGATTCCTTGAGAATCTTGAATGTGGTATTCATGTACCCCCTAACTCTTCTGTCTTCCCACGAAGTGAGGTTTAATTCCCGTAGTCTCTTCTCGTAGCTCATACCTCTCAGCTCGGGTACTAGTCTGGTGGCAAACCTTTGAACCTTTTCCAGTTTAGTCTTATGCTTGACTAGATATATGTGTGTGTGTGTGTGTGTGTGTGTGTGTGTGTGTGTGTGTGTGTGTGTTAGGTGCTGTGTGCAACCCTGGATGTAACACTGTAAAAGTGTTTGGTTTAGTTTAATACATATATATAGTACATGAGTCACAGACAAGGATCTGAGAGGCGCCAGTTTGTCGGCCTGAGATCTCTCACCTCAAAGCGTTAATGACCTCAAGTGACCTGAGGTCAGATCATGAATTTCACCTTGCTTCCGCTAAGCTTATAATTGTAGTCTGGTAGCCTTCAAACATGCCGACGTTTAAGGAGTGGCTTGGCAGTGCCGGAGGCTATCTACTTGTGGGCGGAGTTAGTACTAGGGTCCCCAATATATACTGAGGGAGCATAGAGCATTAAGAGAACAGCAGACGAGCCAGCAGAGCAGACGGCCCTAGCAGGGAGGCTGTCGGCCGGCAGGGCGGGAGTCTCCGTCAACTACAGACCCCCCCCCTCTCTATCCAGCTATAGGCACACACTTGGTGAGTTGAGCAGTAAGGTGACTTGGTCGTGTTTTACAAGTGTTGTGTGAAGATCAGGGGCAGTCAGTTGTAGTGTTCTCAGATTCTTGGAGGATGACTCACTTTGAATATTAATCTTTAACATTTTAAGTGGATTGCTTATATTATGATACTTAGTATGTGAAATATATGAACTTATTATTTAAATCGTCTTTGTTCCCTAGAGCTTTGAGTTGAGGTGAGAAAGCCTCGGTGGTTACTAGATTCAAGATATTAATGAGTACATGTTTGGAGTTGATACATGGTATAGAGGGAACATACTAATAATGAACTCATGATAACATCCTTTGAGAATTTTGTGATACAGGCAAGTTCCATTCCTTGTCTTGTATGTAATGATCATGAATGGATGGTGGCAGCATTTCGTCTTCTACTATCTACTTTCTACTTCTACTATCTACTCTTCTACTCCTACCTATCTACACCTCTCCCTCCACCCCTCTCTAAACTCTCACTTTCAACTAATGACCATCCTCGCCCCTCCCACCTCTCTCCCTCTCACCCAAACCCTCACTAATTACTTCACTATTCATTTCTTTCCTTTCGTTTTCTCTTATACGTTTGTGGCAATGATCCTGTATTCTAGAGTTCTCTCTAGAGTTTCGGGTAGCTGATCCAGTTACGGCGCCTTGTAGTCTTAGCACCTAGGTAGTCAAATACCTAGGTTACAAGGTGTTGAACGAGAGAGGTTGCCTTAGGAACTCTGGGAGTGCTCTAGAATAGTTAGCTAACTAGGGACAGGATAACGGACTAGAGAGAGCTGTTTCCCCCGGCCTCGTTAGTTAACTGGGGGGTGGAATAATGGACAAGATAGAGCTATTTCCCCCACCCCCCCGTTACATGAGCACGCAGTCATGGTAATCTCTAGGGTGATCCTCAGCACGCGCGCACGCACACGCACACACTATTACACACACATACATTTGTAATTCACTATCACTCCCTACCCTTTTCACCACCTTCCCTTCATCCATGTAACTTTTCATTAAACTTAGTCTTGCCAATAAACTGCATAAACTGTTCTAACCTTGAATAATTTATAAAATATGCTAGATAAATCTTTGAGGCTTGATCCTTGTATTTAGCCAGCATGAAAATTTGTGCAATTTCCCGGCCATGCAAAGGGGAAATGGGGCGCTTGACCCAACCTGCCTTTGACTATATTCCTGGACAGAAACCAGTCACCCTGCAAAGTTTAGCGAGGCTAGCCCAAGCATCTGGCCTCCAACCTCGAACAGGCACAAACACACTCACTCTCTCGAAGATTTGAAAGCGGTGCCATGCTAAATTACGTTGAAGCCAAGTCGGTGAATCCCTTCCGTGGTGGTCGTATTGTAACTTCCCGCAGGTAAACTTGAGTCGTGTGCGGAGTTTGACCGTTGGACTGATAGTCAACAGGTAAGACATACGTGCTACGGTTACCGTTGGCTACAAATTTAAATTGAAATAAGTTTATTGAGGTAAAATACACACAAAGGGATGAGGTAGCCTAAGCTATTCTCACCCCGTTCAGTACATCGTGTTAATACATACACAGACACACATCACAAGCAATAAACGTATTACCGAACATTGAGAGATAATCATATACATTTCCTCCTTTACACAAGTGCTGGCTACAATGATCTGCGCTTCTCAAACACCTGTGTGATGGTTGACTGATCCCAGCAACGTGCGCGCGCAGCCGAGTGGACACCGCTATGAGGTCATGGTCCCAAGGACCCGGGTTCAATTCCTGGTCGAGGCAGAAACAAATGAGCAAAGTTTCTTTCGTCTAATGATCCTGTTCACCTAGCAATACCCAAGTACCCGGGAGTTACAGCTGCTACTGGTTGCATCCTGGGGATTATCTTGAAAATATCTTGAGATGATTTCGGGGCTTATCGTCCCCGCGGCCCGGTCCTCGACCAGGGCTTTTTTTTTTTTTTTACACACCCCCAAGAAGCAGCCAGTAGCGGCTATCTAACTCCCAGGTCTCTATTTACTGCTAGGTGAACAGGAGCATCAGGGTGAAAGAAACTATGCCCATTTGTTTCCACCTCCCCCTGGGATCGAACCCGGAACCTCAGGACTATGAATCCGAAGCGCTGTCCACTCAGCTGTCAGGCCCGTGAGGGATGTCTGTGTGTGAGAAATAATTAGATAAGAGAAGAAAAATAGGTCGTGAGTCAGCACATTAGTTAACCCATGGTGGGTTAGTCTTTCTTTAAAAAGAAAAAAATCGGGGTCCAAGAGCTAGAGCTCGATCCCTCGGGCACAAATAGGCGAGTGAGTATACACTTTTTTTTTTTAAGTTTACACCCGCGAAAGACCCTCATTTCCGATCCATTTACCTCATAATTCTCCGGCCCTCCTAGCCTGGAGTGGCCTCAGTTTATCTCAAGGTCTGTATAGAGGGAAGACTGCGTCGCTAGCCCGCGAGGCGAGGCGAGGCGAGGCAGGCAGGCGAGGGAGGCAGGCAGGCAGGCAGGCAGGCGAGGGAGGCAGGCAGGCAGGCAGGCAGGCAGGCAGGCAGGCAGGCAGGCAGGCAGGCAGGCGAGGGAGGCAGGCAGGCAGGCAGGCAGGCAGGCAGGCAGGTGGATCCGGGCTGCCATCATGTTAGAGAGGACGCTTGCTCCTATTCTCACCCCTCGTCGTAAAGCCAGTATTCACCTGGCTGTGACTGCAGGTCGACCAGTATCTACGGTCATGCTAAAACAACAATGGAAAGGATAATTATAATATGCAGTGGTAACTAAGAGTAAGGAAGTGGTCTCAACACATCACACTGGGCGCACATCACGGTACGACACACACCTTAACAAACAACAGTCACAAACATGAGTGGAATGTACGCGTCCAGGTCAGATTTGCTGCGGGAAAGAGACGGTGGTGTCGACAAAGGTGGTTGGGTACACGTGGAGCATGGGTGTGTGGGAGTGTTGTGTGTGTGTGTGTGTGTGTGTGTGTTCAAGCATCCTCCACCCCTTCCCTCCACAGGCACCCCACTCCCTCCCTCCCTCCACCAGAACAGACCCAGGCGACCTCTGGCGCAGCGCTCAGTACCTCGCAGGTCACAGAACCAAAGAATCACGACTCCCGCCCCAGTCATTTTGAGGTTCTCAGGTTGGGAAAGTTGCAGTGACATTTCGTATTGTCAGAATATTGGTTTTGTCCTTCGTCCCGCTCCCCTAGCAGGTAGTGTGTGTCCTAGCTGCGTCACGCTTCCCCAGCAGGTAGTGTGTCCTAGCTGCGTCACTCTTCCCCCAGCAGGTAGTGTGTCCTAGCTGCGTCACGCTTCCCCCAGCAGGTAGTGTGTCCTAGCTGCATCACGCTTCCCCCAGCAGGTAGTGTGTGTCCTAGCTGCGTCACGCTTCCCCCAGCAGGTAGTGTGTGTCCTAGCTGCGTTCCGCTTCCCCCCAGCAGGTAGTGTGTGTCCTAGCTGCGTCCCGCTTCCCCCAGCAGGTAGTGTGTGTCCTAGCTGCGTCCCGCTTCCCCCAGCAGGTAGTGTGTGTCCTAGCTGCGTCACGCTTCCCCCAGCAGGTAGTGTGTGTCCTAGCTGCGTCACGCTTCCCCCAGCAGGTAGTGTGTCTCCTAGCTGCGTCACGCTTCCCCCAGCAGGTAGTGTGTCCTAGCTGCGTCCCGCTTCCCCCAGCAGGTAGTGTGTGTCCTAGCTGCGTCACGCTTCCCCCAGCAGGTAGTGTCCTAGCTGCGTCCCGCTTCCCCAGCAGGGAGTGTGTCCTAGCTGCGTCCCGCTTCCCCCAGCTAGTAGTTGAAGTGGGGGGACAGTAGTGGTGGCTCACCTCGCGAGCTGTCAACCTCCCCAGCAGGAGCAGCTTACGTTGCCGGCTCTGGTAAACCCCAGTAAGTCGACACACCGCGCCGGCAGCCCTGATATGCTCCCTGCTAACCCAACAGGCGCCTCTTGAGGTCATGCTCAGGGAGCCTGGGTTGTGGGGGAGGCGGTGGGGGCTTGGCCGAGCTCATCTAGCCACTCTTCAGTGCAAGTGACCTCAATCTTCCTCACAAAAGTGGATATTTAACTGCCAAAGAGTTTCATGCTTCAGTTTCTAAGTCTATTATATGCCTCTGTAACCTTTTTCACTACGACTCTCTCGGTGAGTGTGACAGATGCACTAATGAACAAAAATCTTACTTCTCCATTTATTTGTCAAAAATGTTCTGTTATCAGATTAAGTAATTGTTTTTTTTCTTCTGTTACAGAGAAACAAGGAGTTCATGCAGGACGTGATCTCCAGCTCCTCCAGGAGGGAAGGTAAGTCACGCGAATACCTGGTGTGAGTGCTGGGAATACTTCGACTAAAGTGTTTCACCCTCCAAAATAAATATAAATATATATATAGTGTTTATATATATATATATATATATATATATATATATATATATATATATATATATATATATATATAATAATTTGGCAAACGGCTCAACCTCTCAATAATGACATTACCAAATAAGCAAAAATCTAATGATTAAATGATAAAACACCATTGTTTTTTAGTAAATTTGTTTTGTGTAAATATGTTTTTGTATAAGAGATAAACACGATCAGTGATTCTAAGCTAGCAATATTTACCGTATTTAAGACTTAACCCTATTTTTACGAGGATATTCTATTTCATTAAAGTGATCTTTGTCCACAGAGGCATTTAGATAATAAAAATATGGCTCATATAGACCCCCCCCCCCCTCCCCAAGGTCAAACCACTGACTTTCCTTAGGATGCAACCCCCCCCCCCCACGCCAGTTGTCTGACTCCCGGTTACCTGTTAATTACAAGACAAACAGTGGCATTAGGTGAATGGAAACGTGCCCAACCAGTTCTACCACCCCCCTCATTCCCTTTTCTCTAAAAATCGAACCCGGAATCTCCCCGATTAAGAGTCGGGATCGAAACCCACTGTAATGCCAGACATATTGTATCCTATCCTATCCTATCCACCGGGAAGTTCCAAACTTGGGTTGGGACGATGATAGTCATCAATATCATTGACTAACTTTTAAGTTGGTCATATTTTCAGCATTTAGGGAAGTCTTAGGTCCCTTCCCTTCGGTCAGGTCTTATCAGGAGAAAGCGTCAAGTCATTACGACTATATAGCACTTGGAAGGCGGTCAGGATAAGGATTAGGGAAGGGACGGAGGGGATGGAATGGTGCCCAACCACTTGGACGGTCGGGGATTGAACGCCGACCAGCATGAAGCGAGACCATCGCTCTATCGTCCCGCCCCAAGTGGTTGGGCAAGACTCTCAGCGCTTCAGTTAATGGTTCTATAATTACAGGCGCCGCTAAAACTAATTGCCACGTTAATTTTAATTCATTGTGATGGACGCTGCCTCTCCCGTCATGTGTGCTGAGTGTGAGAGTTGTACTTCCCTTGGTGCTCGTCTGTGGCGTGTGTGACGTGCCCGGGGTGTGACGTGCCCGGGGTGTGACGTGCCCGGGGTGTGACGTGCCCGGGGTGCGGCGTGCCCGGGTGCGGCGTGCCCGGGTGCGACGCACAGTAATCATGACTGAGCAACACTGTGATCGCTGCCCTTAACACGTGTCTCCTTCAGCCTCCTCAGGATCAGTCATGGAGGAGGGTCGCGCCCTCTGGCGCCGGGTGGGCTCCCGCCGCCGCCGCTCCACCACCCCCAGAGAGCTCCCCCAGGACCCCGCCCCCAGGGACAAGGGGCGCCGCGCCTCGGCCATCTCCCCCACCAGGGCCGCCTCCTCCTCCCCCGTCAGAGCCCCCAGCGCCCACCACCAGCAGAGAAGCAGCTCCATCTCCGTCCCCAGGACCTCCAGTACCCTCCCGAAGGGCTTCAGCATCACCCGGGGGACGTCCCCGGGGGACTCCGCCCCCCACAAGGGCAGCAACTCCCACGTCGGACCTTCAATGGGCGACACGCAGAACAGGAGCAAATGTGAGTCTCCCCCGAGGGAACCCTCGTCGAGGACCTCCACTCCCCGAGGGACGCCGACGAAGTCCCCGCCGGTGCAGGGGACCCCGACGAGGGAGGGTCCCCGGCGACCCAGCCTCACCCGGGCCTCCAGCTTCGACAGCCCCTCCGTCAGTCCCCGACGCTCCAGCTTGCGCAGCGCCGTCCTCCGCCTCCGCTGCGAGTCCCAGGACACCGCCGAGGAAGACGACGATGACGACGACGATGTCCCAGGGATAAGCTTCAGGAGACTCGGTAGGGATGACGATGACGGGGAAGACGAAGACGATGCCGACGATGACGACGAAGAGGAGGAGGATGAGGAGGAGGAAGATGAAGACGAGGAGGAAGAGGAGGACATGAACGAAAGCAGGCCCCCTGGGCGCGTGGTCAACGGCGACGGGGCAGGGAAGGGGCGCCGACGTGGGGGCCGCCGACGGGGCCACAAGAAGGTGGAGCAGCAGCGCTCTCAGGAGCTGGACTCCCCCAGCAACGCCGCCGTCCCCATTGTTGAGGTGAGTGCCACGATGTTCAGTACTGTCTCATGACCCTTACACACTACTGCCGGCCTTGAAGCTATTGTGTAGCTTAGTGGCTCCTGTGTCCCTTCATTCTGGCACTACATTGGCTGTCTTCCATCCCTTTGGCAACTCCCTCTTTTTTCCCTGACTGACAGTTTTGACATTTACCATCTTCTCCCTCCTTCCAACCGTCTACCGCCCTTTGCAAAAGAGAACTTTCTAATATTTTCTTTTCTGCACCTTTGTTTCCTAACCTTGAATCTATGACTTGAAAATGCGGATTTTAAGAATGTCTCCATCGATTTTGTAGATTGCTGTTACTATTTTATACGTAGTGATCATATCGCCTCTTTTGCTGGTAGCTTTGGCGTATTTAACATCTCTAGTCTCTCCTCGTAGCTCTTGTCTTTCAGTTCCGGGAGCCATTTAGTAGCATATATTTGCACTTGTCCAATTTACTGATGAGCTTCTTAAGAGGTAAGCCCTGTACAACCGCTGCATATTCTAATTTTAGTCTCAAAGATGTCGTGAACAATTTCTTTAATATTTTACCATCCATGTATTTAAGGTGTGTGTGTAAGTTTCAAAAAAAAAGTGTCGAGCAATGGAATCCATTTACCCCTTTTCGGCTTGGCTGCTAAAAGGCCACAAGCAGATTGACCAGCGAGCTCAACTTCTGGTTCCTGGATGAGGGCACCCTGGCAGGGACACAGGAGTCCTTACTGCTGGATCTACAGCTGGACTTTTAAGGGAGAGGAGTTTGGACTCGCCCTAAATCCTCAAAGTGCGAAGTCATCTCGTCTAACCCACCAATCGGTAGATACAGTAAGATCCGCTTTACCAGGAGCCTCGATAATCCCCCCCGCCGCCAACAGTGTGCCGCTAGATTTACGAGAGGGGCCATCTCGTAGATCACTTTAACCTCTCCCACAAATTAGACGATCATGACCCCTTCTACCTTAGATGTCAGGGCAGTACACCTTTTCCACAGATGAAACGATCACAACCTCCCCTCACAGCTCCTCACTCTCACGTCTGCTGGCCATTCGCCCACAAGCGTAGTGGTAACATTTTCTTGCCAGTAACATATGATCGTGTAGCAAAATACGGGGCAAATATTCTCAGTTATCATTTATGTGTATGACTGTGTGGTCATATGTTTGGGTTTGGAGGAGAGATGTAAACACTAGTACCGTCCCGAGCACTGGCGGAGCATGAACTCTGCCATATTTGGTCTTTGTGCACTATGGTTGCCTGGAACAGGATGTGCGCCATGTTTCCAGGGTAACGTTTGTTATCTAAAGACAACGAACCACTGAGAGGAAAGATAGTGCTGATATGTTGCTCTCTACATGCCTGCCTACATCTCGCCCTCCCTCCCTGCCTGCACACGCAATTCCACCTCGATGACCTTTCCCAGAAACCTACCAGACACCCGACTTACGTCCATTCCAACACTACCATTTCCCTCCCCACTCATCAACTGCAACCCATCATCCACCATTCCCTTCCTTCGCACATTCGCCCCCTCAGGCCTCCAGTGCTTACGCCACCTACCCACTCTCAGCTCCCATGGCATCCTCCTTCCACTTCATCAGTCCCACCACTCCCCGTACATAATGCCCCACTCGCCTCTACTCCCTGGCACTTACTTTTTCACCCCGTACCCTTCCTACTTATTCACCTAAAACCCAACATTGTACCCCGACACTAGGCTAGGAGTTTCCCACTCGGACATTGGTGCAATGATGATGAGGCTGAATATCTGGTATACCGGGGGGTGACACTGTCAAATAAAGCAGATGAAAACAAAGAAAGGACAGGAGATATAAACCTTGATTCAATATCAATTGTGGATACTAAATTAACAGAAATGATCATCGCAATATTCTTGGGAGAATATTGGATAATGCAAAGATCGATAATAATTCAGAGGGTAAGAACAACTACAGCATTGCTGGTCAAAAGAAATTAGACTTTTGTTAAGATCCACTTGCATGAGGCAAGCAACTACACGAACTGTGTCTTGAGAATCATTTCAGTTAAAGTAGAGACAGTGGTCGTGGCTGTGGTCTGCAATCCCCCACAGGATCTCACAGCCCACACACTGAGAGTGAAGCTACCAGTAATAGACTAATAGAAGCTACCAGTAATAGAAACAATAGATCAACCAGCTAGACTATGCCTGGTTTTCAGCCAGAATGTAGCACATATCGAGAGATTATCCGCAAAATGCCAATAGGGATCAATGACCACCATGTTTGTCTTAAATATGTAGTGGGACTGAAGCAAGAAAAGGACGGCGTTGTAGGTAGTATACTGTAAAAGAAATTCTTGGAGAGAGAGTATCATGGAAGAGAAAACTGACGGGGATATTATAGCAAGAAATGGACAACATAACGAGCAAATTAGAAGCAGCTCAACAAAATATTCATACTAAACTAAAAAGGAATATGGGAAGCAGTGGGTGGGAACGACTAGTTCATGGTTTTACACACAGTCGCTGGAAGTGGAAAATAAGGGTGAAGGACAAATTACGAGGACATGACAATTCTTAAAGGAATTGACAGTCAATCTTCAAAGCTCAGGACAGTTACAGAAGTTGTTGAACCTGAACTCGCTGCGTAACTAAATGTAAATGATAGAAATGTTACAACCGAGTGACGTCAGTGACCTATGAGATGACGGCAGGACTGTTGCCTGAGCCTTATATCATGTGCAGCATGTACATACAAACATTAAACTCCAGCGCCTTATGTGTATGTGAACACCATTGTATGAAAGTGTTCATGCTGGTGATGACTTCCCATCGCAGTGACTGGTGAAGACAAAACCCAGCTCAGCAACAACAAAAATTAACTTTATGTACGAAATGACCTGTGCCCTTGTAAATGGCTTGTTCCCTTGTAAATGGCTTGTTCCCTTGTAAATGGCTTGTTCCCTTGTAAATGGCTTGTACCCTTGTAAATGGCTTGTACCCTTGTAAATGGCCTGTACCCTTGTAAATGACCTGTACCCTTGTAAATGGCCTGTACCCTTGTAAATGGCCTGTACCCTTGTAAATGGCCTGTACCCTTGCAAATGGCCTGTACCCTTGCAAATGGTCTGAACCATTGTAAATAATGTGTAGCCTTGTGAATGACCTTAGCCCGAGTATATGCCCCTCACCTGCTCAAGGTAGTTTCCCCTTTCTTCCCCTTCAGGGGACCCCAGGCAGAGCGTCACTTCCGTCCCCCCTATGTGAGACCGCCTCACGGTGGAATGGAGGTCACACACGCACGGTAACGCGACACTCCCGCCCAGGGCGCCCGCCCCGGTGGGAATATGAGCCCAGGGATGTCGTCCACCTGTCCTTCACCCGGTGTATTATGGTGGCCTTGATAAACCACCACCACCCACCTCCCCTGCCAGTGGCGTAGATAAACTCCCACCGTCCCCCCGGCCTGTGTTGGAGGCGTGGAGGAGGAGGCAGGGGGGGGGGGATGTGGAGGCTGAGGGTAGGGATAGGTGGTGGAGGCTGAGGGTAGGGATAGGTGGTGGAGGCTGGAGGTAGGGATATACGATGGAGGCGCGGGTGACACTAGACACCAAGGGTTTGGGTGTAGGTGTATTGTAACACTATCATGCACCAACTGTATCATGCACCAACCTTGTATCTGCTCTCGGCGTCACCTGATCAGTACCGTTGTAGTACATTACGCCATGTGGTGGGGGAATACCATTGTAAATCGTATTGTAAATGCGATTAAGATATTATCATAATAATGTGGGATTATAAACTAAAAAATAATTGCTATCAGTATGCACTACAAAAGAATTAAAAGGCCATAGCTGTTTCTGTAGTCAAGCCAAGGCGTTCCCTGTTGCCTAGGAGAAGTTTGTTGACTAGGCTCATCAGGTATCTCGGTTTTCTTAAGTACAATGTCTCAACAAGGTTATTGATTTGAGAAACTGCATGAACCTGTTGGTTGTTTTTGTTGTTTTAGATTCAGCTAGTCGAAACAAAATGTCCAGATAGCACGGGCTACGGTGAGCCCTTAATGGACTTTACTTGATATTTTATCACATCAGTTCAGATAATTGATTAGATGCAATAATAAGAGTATTAATTGCTAATGGACTGGTTCACAAAATCTACTTGATTTTGTTAAACATCTTAAGGTCTCTTTATTTGTTATTATATATAACTGTGATAGACATTAAGTAACTTTAACACGAATAGTTACTGATTATACATCATTAGCATCATCAACCTGATATTGGTGAGGATGAATTAGTTATCTTGTAAATAGTATTACTTGAATGATAGCCATGCTAGTGATTGATAATTAATACTGATTATTTACTGATAATTTAGATAATTATTTAATTCGATTGATATAATTTATATGAATATATATGGATATTATTTATAGATTATTGATTATAAAGTTCGTCACTTACTATTTTAGTCGTTTCCCTCCAATAAACAACCCCCAGCTATTAATAATGGATTGTTATAACAACACGATTAAATTGGCCCATATTTTTAAAAGTTCACAATTAACTTATCCAAACTGAAAACCGGAGCCCGCTCAGATCGGAGCCTTAGAAACACAAACCGTAACTGTGTCTATTTTCCGCTTGTTACAACTTGTAATAAAGTTGTTGCATCTTGGCTTAACGTGTTTATGACGTATTAGAACGTTGTTATAACTTGCTATATTGGTTGTTATGACTGATTAGGTGTTAAAACTTGTTCGAACATTGTACCAACGTCGAAGTTTCGGTGTGTGTTTGGCGGGGGGAGCCTGACCAATGATCCCTCGTGTTGAAAAGATGCTCATTATTTTGAAGTGTGGATGATTATATCTGCTTTTGCCAGGGGATTGTTGAATATAAGGCGTTGGTTCTGGTACAACGGCGTTTGTTTACACTGGCGCTAGTGGTAAAGAGCAAGCGTGCCTAAAACTCTTTACTCACTCTTGGTAATGTTCATCACTTATCTAAGAAAT